TAGTCAAAGCTGCTCACTCATCAAGCATCTATCTAGCACCAACCGTCTGGCAGCATCTTGGACTGAAAACTTGGGGGTGGGACGAGGGGGGGAGACAATGCCACCTCCAAGGTCACTTATTCTCCTTATGAATTTGAACATTCCTAACCGTTAGGCACAACAAGTCATTTCACAGGTGATCCCAGCCTCTCCCTCAGACACTGCATGTTCCCTGACATCTCCGTCTACAGCAGGAATAGCTCCCAGAGGGGCACTGGGTAAATATTTGTTGAATAGATGAATGAATGCATGCATGAACAAATGGAATTTCTAGAATCTTCTACCTCACCTGACTGCTCAACTCAACATTCAAGTTTTCAGGCCACGGGCTCCAAAGCTGCATACATTCGCCTAATCACCATCCGGTGCTGTAAGGAGGGGCTGGGGAGCCTGGCATGGCATCAGTCAGGCGGAGGGTGTGCCGTGTTTGTTTTCTGGAGGGGACAGGACATCACCCCAGCCTGGTGGTGAGTTCTGGGGCTGCAGGTGGCAGTGACCAGAGTGTCACCCACTCACTGGGTGGGTGGCTGCCCCGCTGACCTTTCAGATGGCCAGTGGGGACAGGTAGACACTGTCTATGCTCGCCAGGTGAGCGGTAAGATAAGAATCCCCCAAGGTTGCCGCAGAGAGGGGGCCACCCAGACGTGTCTGCAGTGACATGGCTGCCTCTCCACATGGACAAGAAATGCCCCCAGCAACTCCTCTCGGGGCTATCATGTCAACTTGGATCGCTGCGGAATCTGTAAATTCACCTCTGAGGGCCACCTAAGGCATGGCTCCTGCCATCGGTGGGGACCAATCAGCCAAGCTGAAAAAATGAAAATAAATCAATCAACAATTTTTAAAAAGTCTGTGACTCTGGGAAACTAATCTTCTTTTACGGCACGACCTCTAGGAGACACAGTAAATGGGGTGTCAGAGGAGCCAGGAGACAGGGCCTGGGCAGGGACCGTGGTCTGGAGGGACAGCAGAGGGCTGGGACACCGGCCTGGTGTGGACAGGGGTCTGGGGGTCTGCTGGGTGAATGGGAGATGGTGCCAGGCTCGATGTGACGGGAATGGCCTAAAGGGAGCTTTTGATTTGATGGTGAGCTGAGAAGCATCTCTTGGTAGAAGAAGCCTGTTAACCCCCATTCCTGGCTGTGTTTCCCCTGATGCCCCCAAGCCCTCCTTTCTAGCCCTGGGGATGAATTTGCCTGAAGGGTTTTTTGGATAAAGAGGAGAAATGCCCCCACTCCAGGAATGCTAGCTGCCTACCTGCTATTTCTCTAAAGCATCAGAGACGGGCTCGTCAGAGAGATGGGATCTACCTGCAGAATCACACGTGTGCATGTGTGCATGTGTGTGTGTGCGTGCGTGTGCTTTCAGTTAAGGCCTGTTTCCTATAGGTCCCGGTCAGCGTCAGATGTCGGGCTGGCAGCTGGCGGCCTCAGGCCCTTCTGAGCTAGTGGGCTGCTCCTTGAGGTGCAGGGGGATCTCAGAGGTTCAGGTGGGGGCAGAGAAGCCCATGGGTGATACCAGGTATTGGTTCTGCGTAGAGATTCCAAAACGCACAATTACGCTATACACAGATGAGAAGGAAAGCATAAAACTGCTCGTTATAACACACAGTTCCCAGTGGGAAAAAGTCCTTACAAATACAGGGAGTCAAAGACAAGCTCCTCAGCGGATATATTGCCATCTTCTCTCTCTTCTTTTTCTTTTGCTTTTCGTAGTATTATTATTGTTATTTTTACAAATTATGTGGTTATAGCCAGAAGCTCACAGTAAAAAGTAAAACTAGGCAGCTCGAAAAATCAGGTTAGGGAGTCACTAAAAAACACTAACTCTGTAAATCTCTACTTGAACCTTTCACTACCCTGCATCTTATTCTCAGGGACACTCTACTCATTGGCGCGTCTGCCTGCCATGGTAGGATGGGGCAGGTTTTTGTCAGGATGGCCCGTGTCCCAGGGGCTTTGAGGAGCCCTTGACATTGAGAGGGAATGAACCGCACATGTGTGCCTTTCAGATGGGCATTCACACCCACGCACACTGCCCTCTCCCCTCAGCCACTCCGTCCCACGCCAACACCCCACACACTTGACAGGTGAGGCTCAGAGAGGTGAAGCGATTTGCCCAATACCGCCCAGCGGGGAAGGGGCAGCGAGTGCCGTGGGTCCCTGCACTCCATCCCCTGCATCCCAGGCTGCCCTGTGTCCGTTTGCTAAGTCTGTGATGTCTGCTGAGCTTCACGATGAGGGGCCGTCTGCACACAACAGAGGGTTCTGATCCCCAGCCCGGCTGCAACAGTAAACCTCCACAGGGTCATCATTCTCTCCTGGAAAGACCTCTGGTGGAGTCAGGAGCAGCGCCTTGCAAGTTCTCAAGCCCAGGGATGCAGATCAGGGGAACCCTAGCCCTTGCTGGTCTCTGTGACAGTGACCTCTGGCTCTAGTGTTCGGGGCAGAGAGGCAAGGCCACCAGCTCCTTCTTGGCCGGGGAAGCGTCTCCGTATGAACAGCCGCATGAGCAGCCCCAGAACCGCAGGAAGCCAGAGAAGCAAGCCCCCTAAAAGTCCCTGCAGAGCTGACGTCAGCTCTGTGGACAGATGTTACGGGCATCCAAGTTTTTGTGGAAGTCCCGCCTTAAGTGGGAAGGGCTTCTAGAGCCCTTTCTTTTAGTCAAGGCAGAGAAGGCACAGAACTTGCCTGGGGTCACACTGCTCTCAGTGCAGAGCGGATGTCAGACTCTGGGTCTGTGCCCACACCGCTCTCCCCAAGGCTCAGGTCTCTCTGATTCCTGAGGCCATGCACATGGGATGCAGGTGTTTGCTGATCCAGCTGGGCTGAATGGCTGCTGAACGCCCCTCCATGGCAACTGCTGCTCCGCGTGGACAAGGCCCAGGGGCAGGTCCTGGCGTGTCTCAGCATCCAGGGTAAAGGAAGCCACGCCTATCCCTAATCAATGCCCCAAGCGAAGGTTCTCTGACATTGCCTCTGCCAAAGCTGTACACCTGGGCCCTGGCAGCACTGTCTGGAGAAGACGGGACTCAAGCCACAGGTCTGGGTCTTCCTTAGCTTGCCTGTGTGGCCTTGGGCAAGCCACTTGACCCATCTGAGGCTCAGCATTGTAGTCCACGAAATGGGGGGAGTCCCTTCTTTATGGGCTTCGAGAGGGTGAAAAGCCAGGCTGGATGGAAAATGCTTGACACCCTGGAAACTTCTTTCTGCTTTATCAAAGGACAGGTGTTATGTTTTTCCAGGCTAAGGTGACTCACAGCGGACCACGGCATCTGGGCTCTCACCCACCTCTCTTTCTGCCCTTCCTCTGTGTCCCAGCCAACCTGGATTTCTTTTGGCTCCTTGAAAGCATCAAGCTAGTTGCTGCCTCAGGGCCTTTGCACTAGCTGTTCCTTCTGCCTGGAATATCTTTAATGTCCATGGGTGGCACTTGCTTATCATTCAGAGCTGGGCTTAGCCTGCTCAGAAAGCCCTTCCCAGACCACCCAAGCTCAACAGGACCCCCACGAACACTGTTTTGACCAAATTCTCGGCTTACTGCTCACTGCTATTGCTACCTTCCTTATTCACTGCTTATTTCTTCCCTGTCCTCTCCCCCAGCTAGGACACCAGCACCACGAGCAGGGGCCTGCCTGCTCACTGCCACGTCTGATGGGCAGAGGGTCTGTGGAAGACACTGGGTCCTGCTAGGTGAGGGTACGTGAGCAGAGGAGCCGGGCCCACCCAGCCGGCGCTGGGGGAGATTTTGGCTTCACTAACACCGGGGGAATGAGGGTGTCTACACTGCCACCTTGGCCCTCGGGGATTTACGTGATCGTTTCCTAGGTCAGGCCCTCCCGTGTGTGTGCCCCCGGGCTGGCGGGGTGGGTGGTGGCAGTGGTGAGCTCTGTGGATAGATGTTACGGGCATCCAAGTTTTTGTGGAAGTCCCTCCTTAAATGGGAAGGGCTTCTAGAACCTTCCCTTCTGCATTTCCACAGTGCTCATCACTGTCCAGCAAAGATCTGTGTGTCTGTCTCTCCCACCAGATGCGGCTCCCCCAGGGCAGGGACGAGGCCAGCCTGACTCATCTCCCTTCCCGATCGCTGCCCAGCAGAGGGCTGGCAGGCAGTAGGTACTTAACCAGAATGTGCTGTGTGCAGGAGGGTCCTGGGGAAGCGACGGTGGAGAGCTTGGGTGATGGCCCATCCACTGTGGGACTGTGTTGGGGGTACCCTGGGCTGTGGAGCTTGGACTTTGGGTTCTTATACCTCTGAGGTCAAACCGAGGACTGGTCTCCTCCTGGCTGTGAGACGTGGGCCATTTCTGCAGGGAGTTCATCCCACCCACCTCCCAGGTGATGAGAGAGGGCATACATGAAGATAATCTAGTGCCTGCCCCGAGGATGGCCTGAGACATGTCTCTCATTATCACTGTCATTATGGGAACAAATTCCATAAGAACGGAACCCCACCGGCATTTCGCATCTCCAACACCCCCTGAGACACAGTGTGGCTGTGCCCTGTGCTTGCCAGCTCCATCTGGCTCACAGCTGCAGCAAGAAACTGGAGCCCGGACGCTGGGCCAGACCCCCAACACAAGGTGACTCAGGCCCATCAGAGAACTTGGGGGGACCCCAATAAAACCAATCAAACAAACAAAAAGGATACCCCTGATCACACGCACACGCACGCACACACACTCACATTCAATATTCTGACACAGAGAGGCCCACAGGCCACTACTGGAGGGAGCAGAGGCAAGGGAACCACGCACGGGTACGACACATGGCCTGAATCCTCCCGGCCTCACTTGGCCGGAGCAGCTGTGTCAGTCATCCTGAGTCCACCATGGCGCCACCTCTCAGAAACCACTGGCCCAAAATGGGACTATTGCTTGCGGACGGGTGGCTCAGAAGCCCCCCCCACTGCACCCGGCCCCCACCCCTGAGTTTGCTCGTAGTGTTAGAAGGCCGAGGACCGCTTCGGGCACAGGCGGCGTTTTCTCCTCTGCCACCACCGCGGCCATCTTGGCTCTCCCCGGCGTCTTGAAGTGGTACTTCTCGGAGGCTGAGCCAGGTGCTTTGGGTCTCACCTCCCCCATCCTGAGGCACGGCAAAAGGGTTTTCTAGGGAAGCAGAAAGGAACAAAGTATCACATGGTGTCTCCTCCATGGGGATGCACTGGGGACATTTCTCTCTGGCCTCAGTTCCAGGAGAACCCAGGTTTTTCTCTGAACACATGACATGTTTTTGTCTTCTAGTTATTGAGACCTGTTTGACTTTAAAGCTGGAAGCAAGACAAGCAGGTCTGCTATCACTATGGTTTCATACAGCACTAGTGCCCCTGGCCCAAGCAATAAGACAAGAAAAGAGCATAGAGTGTCAGGAGTGGGCTAGAAAAACCCTAATTACCATTATTGGCAGATCACGTACATAGAAAACCCAAGAGAATCAACAGGCTAATTATTAGAACAGAGAGTGCAGATACAAAGATACAATTTTCAGTCTGTAAGACAAAACCAGATCAACTTATAAAACCTATTACTCAGCCATAAAAAGAAACGAAATTGAGCTATTTGTAATGAGGTGGATAGACCTAGAGTCTGCCATACAGAGTGAAGTAAGTCAGAAAGAGAAAGACAAATACCGTATGCTAACACATATATATGGAATTTAAGAAAAATAAAATGTCATGAAGAACCTAGGGAGAAGACAGGAATAAAGACACAGACCTACTGGAGAACAGACTTGAGGATATGGGGAGCGGGAAGGGTGAGCTGTGACGGTGAGAGAGAGGCATGGACATATATACACTACCAAACGTAAGGTAGATAGCTAGTGGGAAGCAGCCGCATAGCACAGGGAGATCAGCTCGGTGCTTTGTGACCGCCTGCAGGGGTGGGATAGGGAGGGTGGGAGGGAGGGAGACGCAAGAGGGAGGAAATATGGGGATATATGTATATGTATAACTGATTCACTTTGTTATAAAGCAGAAACTAACACACCATTGTAAAGAAATTATACCCCAATAAATATGTTAAAAAAAAAACCTTATAAAACCAACAGTGTTTTTTTACCTCAGCGTTTACCAGGGTGATTATATGCCTTGGCTTAGGATACTCCCAGTTAATACTTATTGTTCTGACAAAATTTTTAATATTGTTCCCTTTTCAGCCTCAAAAGTATTCTACTTTGGATGATAAACCAGATGGTCACCCTTGTTATAACAAACTAGAAAATATTAAGAACAGATACAGATAACACTCATAATAATAAAAAGAACCATTGTAAATCTTGGTGGCACACCACTGGATAGGACCATATCATACAAAGCCATGGAGAGGAAACCAGGACACTCCGGGCACGTGGACAGGTCACGAGATCACTGGGATAAGGTCAAGAGTGTAAACAGCAGCCCACGGGGCACTTACAGCTTTGATTGGCAGAGTTGAGTTGCCTTTGTTCTTTCTCCTCTTGAGGTCACCTCCAAACAAGGATAATGAGGAACAGAAATACAAACTCCATCTCAGGAAGACACAGTGAATCCCCTGTCCTATAGCCATTTATAGGGGTAATTACCCAGTGACAAGTATCCACCTTCCCATACTCCCTTGCAGACCGGAGTGGTCATATACCCACTCTGGCCAATGCTATGCAAGTGGAAGTCTACTGGGAAGGGGACATGGATCCAGAGGAAGAGCGCGAGAACAAAGGACCTTCACAAATGTGGCTGGAGTGGGAAGCAGGGAGAAACCTGGTTCTGGGGGCAGCCCCAGATTGTCCACCTCCACACCATTGTAGCTGGGTTTCTGAAACTTGTATCTGACTACAGCTACTAACAGATAAACCATCTTCCACCAGACTCCAGCGTGCTCCATGGGCAAGGGGGGAAGTTAATGGAGGGGTTAAGCCAACAAAGTCCATCTTTCCAGAGGGCTTGATACTCCAAATGGCAGAGTCAACACACCATCTGCATCACTGGGCTCTGGGTGACAGATTCTGTGGTCCCCCATCACCTGCTTTATCATTCTCCATCCAGTACACTAAATATTTTACTTACTGGTCTAGCTTTTTAATTTTTTTTTTCTTTTTTTGCAGTACGTGGGCCTCTCACTGTTGTGGCCTCTCCCGTTGCGGAGCACAGGCTCCGGACACACAGGCTCAGCGGCCATGGCTCACAGGCCCAGCCGCTCCGCGGCATGTGGGATCTTCCCGGACTGGGGCACGAACCTGCGTCCCCTGCATCGGCAGGCGGACTCTCAACCACTGCGCCACCAGGGAAGCCCTGGTCTAGCTTATTGTTTGTCTCTCCCAACTAGAAAATAAGCTACATGAGGGTCAAGGTATTTGTGTGTTGTGTTCATTTTTGCATTGCCAGGGTCTGGAGCAGTAACTGGTACACATAATAAGTCTTTGTTGAATGAATGAATGAAGCAAGAATTGAAAGCCCAGATGAACCCGATTTTAAGTATAAAGTCAACAGAAAAACTTTTCAAAACACATTTTTGAATTATAGCTCCCATGAGCCCTTCTTGCATAAATTAACAGAGGATACATAGAGGATAATAAAGGATAATATCCTATACCTTAGGATAACGAAGGGTAAATAGAGCAACTCTGGCAAGAGTACTAGCAATGAGAATCTATTTAACTGTAGGACTATGTCTGAAACTAATGTATTGTGACTGTTATAGAAAAGAACAAAAAAGGAAACAGAGAACAAATATAAACTATGGTAGGGAAGGTGGAGGTCAGAAAGAGGGAGGTAACATGTCAACTACGTCTTATCTGCTTATAGTTGAGAGTCCAAAAAGATCAGTTAGAGATGGAAATAAATTAGAGGTACAAAGATAAATGGAAAAATTAATACAATATAATCAACTAAAATCATTTGATGGAAGTGAGAGAAGGGGAGGGAGAGTAGATATGTTCTAATTTGGGCATCATTCATAGTAGGGAGAAAATAAACAGTGTCTAAAGAAATAGAGGATTAAGGGTATCATATGACAGTATAATTATGAAGATAACTATGGGATGAAAAACACAGCTTTCCAAATTGTCAGAAGATATATACACAAAAAAGAAAACAAAGAAAACAGAGGCCATATGGTGAAAATTGACAACCCCCACAAAAGCTATAAAAGCAGAAAGCATGTCATAAACTATGATGACAGAACTAAGACTAAATGTAGCTGCCATATTATTAAATGTTAATGAGCCATACACACTTGCTGAAAAAAAAAAAAAGACTCAGACTGGTTTACAAGCAAAATCCACTGAAGGTAGAATAATTCAGAAAGGTTTCATATAACAGGATGAGTAGATGATGAAAAGGTTTTGGACATGGACGGTGGTGACGGTTGTACAACAGTGTGAATGTACTTAATGCCACTGAACGGTACAGTGGTTAAAATGGTAAATTTTTTTATGTGTTTTGCCACAATTACACAAGAAAGAATGGGCAGAAACAAAACAAGTGCAAACCAAGAGAAACCAGGGGTCTTGATCTGAATGTTAGACAAAGCTGAAGTCAGGGCAAGAAATAGAGAATGAGAAAAAGAAGGCATTGTGTGGGGATCAAGGATGAGAGTCACCATGACGACTTAAAGTAATGAGTGTCTTTGCACCAAATAACATAGCCTCAACATTCATAGAGCAAGAAATCTGAAAATGTAGGAAGAAAAAGACAGAGTATGTTAATGTTGGTGCATTTTAATTCACCTCTCTCAGTCCCTCACAGATTAAGTTGACAAAAACATAAATAAGGTATAGAAAGCCAAATAACCTAATTAATAACATAGTATGTGTGTGTGTGTTTTTAATTAATATATTTATTTATTTTTGGCTGCATTGGGTCTTCATTTCTGCGCATGGACTTTCTCTAGTTGTGGCGAGCAGAGGTTACTCTTCATTGCAGTGTGTGGGCTTCTCATTGCGGTGGCTTCTCTTTGTTGTGGAGCACAGGCTCTAGGCACACGGGCTTCAGTAGTTGTGGCTTGTGGGCTCTAGAGTGCAGGCCCAGTAGTTGTGGCGCATGGGCTTAGTTGCTCTGTGGCATGTGGGATCTTCCTGGACCAGGGTTTGAACCTGTGTCCTCTGCATTGGCAGGCAGATTCTTAACCACTGCACCACCAGGGAAGCCCTATGTGTGTGTATTAAACAGAATCTTCCTTCTGTTCAAATGTTCTTGAAAATGCACACACAAAAAGAAATTATCAGGCCACAAAGAAATTAAATTCCAAAAAGTAGATGTAAGACAACATTCTCTGATCACAATACACTAGAATTTGAAAATGTTAATAACAAAACCACGAAACAAAACCCAAGAAGTTTAAAAATGCTTTAAAATAACTCTTGTGTCAAAGATAGAGCAAAAAATCAAAGTTGCAGAATATCTAGACAATAATGAAAATAAAAAGATTACATTTCAGAACTTGTGAGATGCAGCCAAGGCAATGCTCAGAGGAAAATTTATAGGTTTAAATATTTATATTAATAAATAAGAGAACATGAATTAGCTATCCAGCTCAAAAATTAGAAAAAAAGGCAAAATACCGAAGGAAGGCATAGGAAAGCACTTGATAAATTAAAACTGAAATGAAGTTAAAAACATAAAAGGAAGAAATGAATAAATAAATCCAATTTCTTACTCTTTTTGAAAAACAGGACACATTAACTGTTGGTGACTCTAATAAAGCAGAAGGAGAAAGTGACCACTTAAAAGTTATCTGTACTTTTCCTTTCCAATTCCGCTTCTCCACTATCTCTTAACCCCTCTAGATAGGCTTTTGACCCAACTATTCTGCAGGGTTTACCCTTGTTAAGGTCACCAAAGACCTCCATGTTGCTAAATCCAGTGGTCAATTCTCGGTCCTCCTTTTACTTATCCCCTTGGCAGCACTGACACAGGTGATCACTTCTCCTGCTTCCAGGACACTCCAGGCCCCTCTCTTGGTTCTCCTCCAAATTTTCTTGCTGCTTCTTCTCAGGCTCCTCCGTGGGTCCCTCCCCATCTTCTCGGTCTCCTCTTCTCCTTTCCATCTCTACTCACTCCTGAGGAAATCATCTCCTCCCAAGGAATTAACTACTCTACATACATTAATGTCTCTTTCAGCCTCAAGCTCAC